CTGTAAAAGAATTTTGATTTTGTGGTATAATTGTGGTCTGAAATTGGTTGATCTTGGAATTATCTTGGGTGTGCCTGGCCTGATCAGTTGATTCTTTAAAAGGACCAGATGCTTGCTGGCAAAGAGATTTCGAAGGAAGGGGTTCAACCCAAGGGAGAGTCTCCACTGCCGGCTTTGCTGATGGGCGGGCTGCGTGGGAAGGCGTGCCAGGGAAGGCGTGCGGTGGCCTCTAGCTGCTGAGAGCAGACCTAGCTCACGGCCTACACACAGGGACCTCCATCCTCCAGCCACAGGGAGCAATCTGAATGAGCCGGAAGCAGGATCCCAAGTACAAATGAGGACACACCAGCCAGCAGTTTGACAGCTGCCATGTGAGACCCTGAGCAGAAAACTCACGCGTGCTGTGCCTGCATGTCCAAGCTCCAGAACAGCGAGCTAATAAGCGAGTATCGTTTAAGCCCCTAGGCTTGTGGTGATTTGTTGCACAGCAAAACAACAACTAAAAACAACGAATACTCCATGTCTGACTCTGAGTGTGGATATCTATATAGAAAAATCAAACACAGGATGCCACAGATGTGTGAGGAGAGAGCCGTGTGTGTTAACGGAGAGATGATTTGTCACGTGGTCTGTATTTTAAATAATGCCATAATCAGAAGGGGAACTTCTGTTCCAGTTCTGCATCGCTACGTGACCTTGAGGGGATCACCAGGGTCCTCCAGGTGTCCTGATGGGGTCACAAGTGTTGGACGCCCTGGGGGTTTCCTCCCCGACACATTTCCCCTGTTCCTCCCTCTCCTGGTTCTCCTACCTGCCTGGCCCTGCCTTCCCACATTTCTCCGGGAGCCCCTCCTCCGTGTTCTCCCCCGCCTGCACTGGCGACCCCCAGGGGCCTGGTCTGCCACCTCGGGAGATCATCACACCTGCAGCCTGTGGCTCCTGCTCGGGTGTCTCTCCAGTGCCGAGTACCCAACGCGGTCATGCAGCTCTCACATCCGGCCCGCACTGCCCCCCCCGCCACCGCCGCCGCCGCCGCCTTTTCTGTCCTCTTTCTAAACTGGAGTCACTCCTCCCCCGGTACTGCCTGAGCCAGAGCCGAGCTCCCGGTGCCAAGCGGGGCCAGAGCTGACGACTGTGAAGCCCTTAGGGGCCCGTGAAAGTGCTTCCGTGTCTCTTAGAATCAGAAGGGGAAGAAACCAAACTTTTACACAGCAAAACAACGACCAAACACGACACAAACACTGTGTCCGACTCTGAGCATGGATGTCTGTATCGAACAATCAGAATGCCACAGGTTGAAGAAAGTGCTTTAATATGTAATGCTAATACATTTGTTTTTAGTGCCAATGCAATTGTGGCATATACTTAAAAAAAATTTTTTTTTTCTTGGAGGAAACAGCTGATGGAAGCAAAAATTCCACGGGCCCATAAAAGCCGCAGTACAGTGCTGGAACGATGGTGTTTCCAGAGAAGCTGGCATTTGTACTGGTGACGGGGCTGGGCCTTCCCTGTGGCCTGAAAGTGGGGAAGGTGCTTCCTGGCACCATGTCAGTGGGTGCCTTCCAGCGCTGGTCACGGCGAAGGGCTGCGAGAAGCAGAGCTGCTGCCTGGGCGCCCTCTGCCCTGGCAGGCGGCAGTATGCGTCAGGAAGCTCCTCCCTCGCCTTTGGTCACTTGATGATATGCTTTGATGCATGCCTTACGATGAGCAGGAGAGGTGCCCAACACCTCTGGCATGTGAAGGGGTCTCTGGTCGGGCGCTCCAGTTCCGCTCTGAGCGTCACCTCAGCGGGACCATAGTAGGTCCACGCAGCCCTGTGTGCCCTCCCCCCCACCCTGGGGATGTCCACACTTCCAGAGAAAGCAGAGGAGGGAGTGGACGGGGATCTGTGCAACCGAATCCAGTCTGGAAGTCAGTAGGGTAACAGTTTGAAGGTCCCCCATGCCTTGAAGCCCTCCTTATCCAGGAACCTGGATAACCTACCCTTGAAAAGTCTTCCTTTATGGCTGAAAACGAGTGTACAAGGCTCTGACCTTCCAGTGCCTCTGATGTTGGCAAGAAAGCATTAGGAAGCTGTGACTCTCTCCAGGTTACTAGATCCAGGAGGGAATCGTCCTTGCCTGGATTTTGGCACTAGGACCCCTGCTGTTAGGATTCAAGCCAGGCAGTGCTGTCTGCTGGTGTAAGTCACCTTGGGTGGCCATGTTCAGACCTGGTCACACCAGTCTTCCGTCGTCCTCCCGTGAACTGAGAGCAGTAGGTTCATCCAGAGAGGGCGCTTTCCTGGTGTGTCCTCGTGGGGTTCTGTGCTGCCCTCTGGTGCTGACGTACCCCCCAGGCATCTGAAGCTCAGACCAGATAAACACTACAGGGCATGAAGGGAATCTCAGAATCTCAAGGTTAGGAGGGAGCTCACTGGCTGCTGAGCCTAGCCCTTGTTCTGTCCACCCTCCAAGTGGCCGCGGGACTTGGCCTGGGGCCTGTCCAAGCCACCCAGTCAGTGTGGGGGCAGCTCTGAGTGAGTGAGGTATCTCACGCTGGGGAGGCTGCCTTCTGACCTTGTGTACGTCCATCCCTGTTCGCCATTTGGCATCCTGCTCTCTGGACAGACAGCGCAGTCCTTGGATTTCTTCTGTGCCTCTCCTCTCCTGGCCACCACCACCCCACCTGCTAGAGCTGAATCATGCCCCTGAATTTGCGTGTGGAGGTCCTAACCCCCAGTTCCTCGGACTGTACCTATTTGGAGACAGGTCTTTAAAGAGATAATTAAATTAAAGTGAGACCATTAGGGCGGCCCTAACCCACTCTGACCAGGGTCCTCACAGGAAGAGCTGATGAGGACACAGACATGCACAGGGAGGACCATGCGAGGACATGGGGAGCAGGCGGCATCCACACACCGAGCAGGGGGGCCTCAGGAAGAGCCAGCCCTGCCCACACCCTTGATCTTGGACTTCCAGCCTCCACAACTCTGAGACGATACATTTCCATTGTGGAAGCTCCCTGTCTGCGGCTCTTTGTGATGTCTGCCCTAGCGAACTAATGCACCAGGCCACCACACTTTTCTTACTCCTTGTATAGTGTGGTAGCAGAAGAACCATTCATGATTTGACCAAAGAAGAAGGCAGTCACTGTGGTTATTAATGGAGGCCAACATCCCGTGAACTTGGTCAGTCTCGAATGACTGACAGCCGTCCATCCACAAGGTTTTCCTTTGTTTGTGTTTTTCTAAAAGTCTTCTTGCTGAGTCACATTTCTTGCATCCTGTGCTAGTTGTATATAATTATTTGAGGTTGGCTGTAAGATCTTACACTTAATCCCGTTTTACTTTTGCCTGCCGCTGGCTGAGTGAGCTGGTGACTGCCTCCCTCTCTCAGGCCTTTGGAAGCCACCTGGGGTATCACCAAGGTCAGGCCCTAGATGTCCCAACACGCCTCCCCTTCCTAGGTGGGCATCCTGAGTTTGGATCAAGGATTTCCTTTCAAGTGATACACAGGACAGAACTAACTGTCCCTAAGGCAGGGTGGGGACTCACCGTGCTGAGCATGGTGGACGGCTCAGGTAGGATGTCTGGGAGAAGGGCGGTGGGTTGGAGCAGGCCTTGGGTGCAGAGACCTACAGTGGTGGCCATGAGCGCTGCGCTTCACTGACGCAGGGAAGACAATCTAAGAAAATGTCCTCGCTCGGCCAGAATTCCATGTGACACCCAACCTAGACAGTCGGCTTCACAGGGTGTTAATGTCTATGGAAGAGATTTCTTCTGGGAATTGAGGTGGTGATGGCATAGAGAGCCCCAAATGAGTGTCAGGGTCCTGCTGAGTGATCAACAAAAAACATTCCCTGTTACGAGCCATCACCAGCCAGGCTGCGAGGAGGTGAGGTCACCCTGAGCACATCTCGGGCAAATGTTCAGGACATGAGGGTTGCCCTCAGAAGAGGAGCTGCTTGGGCAACTAGACCTGCATTCACCTGCTCCACCTCTGCCTCAGGAACATCAGATGCCATGTTTCTGGAGTGGCCGTCCCAAGTCCTCTGACCGAGGGCGGGTGTTGTGGGCGCGCCTGGGCCCTCCCTGGAACCTGTCCTGGTTTTTCCCAGCAGAGTGTCATGGCCACTGCATGGACAAAGCTGCACAGCAGTTCTGTGCCCCACACGGGGTCAGCCTCATTGCTCCCTGAATGCCTGTTGTCCCCACGCGTCGTGACAGGCACAGGTGAGCACTCTGCCCTGCTGCCAGCAAAGGCACCCGGAACGTTTCAGGAGAAGTATTCTGAAAGAAGAGTAGTTGATACCTGTGTAATTTGTAATTCTTCAGAGCTCAGTCAACCCTCGTGAGGCCCACGCTTTTCTTGACTCATTCCCGTTTCCTACACTCACCCCTTCGATAATGTCCACAGAAGATGTGCATGGGCCAGAAAGTTCAAAAACTGCTTACTGACTCCAGCACATCCTCTTTGGAGGCCCGAGGACCTCAGGTGAGGTTTTTACTGCCAATCCCATCTGCAATATGAGGTGAATGATCTCTGCCTTCCTGGTGGTCCTGGTAAAGAACAGTAGTTGTGCATGTGCTTTGTGAATTAAAAGGCTATATCCAAATGGAAAGTGCACAAGTAAGTTAGCCGTGTGCAGGGGGAGACAGCCTTTATTTCCGTGTGAGGTGACCCTGCCACTCGCATGCCTCTGAGCTGCGGGTGTGTTTATGTTGGCCTCAGCTGCAGAGTCATGGCCTGTACCTCTCCGTGTCCTTCTCTGCCTTGACACGTCCACACCGAAGAATCTTGGGCTGAGCCGCTAGCTTCCGAAGCCATGGGTCACCTAGGGAGTGAGCCAGGGCCTCTGGGTGGGGATGATGGAGTGTGGGGGCCGCGGAGGCAGTGATCTGAGGAGGGGGCGGCTCCCCATGCGTCCTGGCCCAGTGATGGGAGCCCTGCTTCCGGAAGTTCTGGGCCCCCGTGGGACACTGCTGTGAGCTCACTGGCCCCTTTGTGTTTCTGTTAAAGATTTATGTGCACCTGAAGGAAGGTGGGGGCCCAGACGGGCTGGACACACTGAAGAACAAACCCCAGCTCCACAGCATGGTGGCCAGGAGCCTGTGCCGGAATGCCGTGGGCAAGAACTATATCATCTTCACGGGGCCCAGCATCACCAGTCTAACCCTGTTCGAAGAGTTTGAAAAGCAAGGTTTGTCAAGTGGCGAGCCAGTCTGAGTGGGTCCTCCCTGGAGAGGTGGTGGGAGAGGCGAGGGGGTAGTGACCAGCATGGGACCACGGGCCTCAGCGGGGAGGAAACAGATCACCACCTTGGCCTGCCGCACACCTGTACTCTGCCGGCTGCCGCAGGGCTGAAGGGATGCCAGGCACAGGCTCGTGGACTGGGGAGTGTGTTGGTGCAAAGCTCCGCCCAACCCTCAGGGCACATTTTCTTGTGTCCTTTGCTGTAAAGCCATGGCCCCTGAAGGGGTGTTAGTGTTTTTGTCCATTTGGTCTGCTCTAACGAAATGCCGCAGTGTGAGCTATAAACAACAGGAGTTGCTTTCTCACCGTTTTGGAGTTCCAAGGTCAGGATGGTCAGGTGAGGGCTTCTTGTTGGGTCCACATGTGGCAGAAGAGGCCAGGGAGCTCTGTGGGGTCTCCTTTTGAAGGGCACTGACCCCATTCCTGATGGCCCCACCCTCATGACCGAAGCACCTCCCAAAGGCCCCACCTCCACACACCATCGCCTCGGGCACGAGGCTTCCAACAGAGGACTTTGTCCAGGGGCACAAACATTCAATCTGTGGCACCTGGGCCCAGCTCCCCATCAGCTCTTAGCCCGACCTCACCCCCCATCTTCAATGGGGCCCCTTCCATCTGGCAGGCAAGAATCATGTAGGTGCTTCAGAGAATTGTGTAGAATAACATGTAGAAAAGACCCAGGCCAAGTCAGGGAGCCCAGTGGTGTTGGCCTTTGCTTTCTCCTGCGTTTGGGGATTTATATGTACTCCATTCAGGAGAAACACAGAAAGTCCCCACTCCACTGCAGCAGCAACTGGAATTGCAGGCCTATTGCTTACCAACAGGCTGGCCTCTGGCTTTGAAATGAAACCCTCTCAAGTAACAGGAGCCGACAGCCTCTGACCTGTGAGCTCAGCAGCTGTGATGAGGAAGCGGCCCCTGGACTCTGCTCTGCTGGCCTGGGCTGCGTCTCACGCATCTGCAAAGCCTGGTACCGAACAGGGCTCAGTGTTTAATTGTTGGGGGAATTTAAGGTAAAAGATCAGACTGGTGTGAAGAGAGGCCGTGGAAGTCAGACTGGAGAAACTTGGCTTATGTTGTAACCACGGTGGTTATGTTGTAACCACAGGTGTAACCTGTGGTGAGAGCCTGCGCCACCGCCCCCACCCCCTGCCCGTGCAAGTCCAAGCGTGGGCACCCGTGGGTGGCGGTGAAGCCCGTGGGGCTCCCAGCACTGCCCTAGCCACATGTGTGTGCCCCGCGGGGCTGCTCCCACCTCACGCGTGTGTCGCATTGCCTGGGCCAAGAGCCGGGTGTGCCGCCGAGACCGGCTCGGAGCACATGTGTCGGGGGGGCCTGCGTGCGGAGGCAGGGCCGCTCCCCTGAGAGCTGGCCGCATGGCCCTGTGGCTCTGGGAGGGATGGGGCCCTTCCCTGCTCGGGGAATCAGGAGGTGGAGGAGGGTTTTCTGGTGGGGAGAAGGTGAGGAAACACGGCGTCAGAAGGTTTCCAAGATAGCCAAGAGCTGGCTGCCTGTGTTTCAGAAACGTCTAAGGCCACTGAGCCCATCGCGTGGGGTCCTGTGGGCCTCCCCTGCCTGACCGGCACTCGGGGAGGCGGCTCACCAGCAAACCTGCGCCGTGGCTCTCCCCCGCCCCCGGGACTCCGGTGCCTTGGCCTGGGGCGCACCCTGGGCATCCTAGTGGGCAGCTGAGGCTGAAGTGAGGCCAGAGCTGAGCATCCAGCCATCCCTCCTGGGCTACACAGAGCCTGCTTTGGAGAAGAGCCGGGAAAGACACTCATATAATGATCCATGTAATAATCACTATTTTCACAAAGGGGCAGTTTCGTGAGACCCCAGGGGCTCCTTAGGTTTCTCCTCCTGTCTTTCCAGAACCGCGGCTGCTCTTCGGCAGGCCGCAGACACCGGGCTCTGCGGAAGCGTGAAGCCTCCTTACCCTCCCTTGCCCAGTCCTTCCTGTTTGAAAACCAGATTCTTTGTAGATCTTAAGGCTGGGGTCGTTTGGGTGGTCGGGGGGATGGGAGCCATCCGCCTCTCGGCAGCAGGCCCTACATGCGCTGCCCGTGGGTCTCGTCCACGCATCTGTTGCTTGGGGGTACGTGGGGGCCGGCGGCCACGCAGGGGGAGACCAGGGGTCGTCCCTTCAGTGCAGGGCGCGGATGCAGCCACACGGAACGCGAACCAGGGCATACAGACGGTTCCGGCTGCTGAGGACTGGACGGGTCTTCAGGGAGCTCGGAGGAAAAAAAAGGAGACCGTTCCCAGGTCTCCTGTAGGGAGCGCCGCTTCCTGCCCCCTGCGGGCACACAGACTGAGAAGAGGCTGGCAGGAGGTGCCGCTGCCCCGTGACTCCCTGTGGCAGTGAGGATGGCTGTGGAAAGGCTGCGGGCTCCCGGGGGGCTTTAGCGATGCCTCCTTGCTCGCACTGGTCCCTTCTGCCCCGTGGAAACTTCTGCAGAGGCTCTGGCAGTCTCCTCCTCCCCGGGCCGGGGGCTCCACCTCATGGGGTGCCTGCGGGTATGCCACCTCTGGGAGGTGGGCACGGGGCTGCGCTGGGTACGGGGCTGTTCTGAGGGAGGGCGATGTCGCTGAGCACAGACCTGTGCCTGGGGCCTCACGGGGCTGCGGTTCCTCGTCTGTAATGTGGGCACCATAACCTAAGTGCGGGAGTTTCTAGAAACAGCTGGATGATAAGGTACAGGTGCTCAGCAGTGTGCCTGGCACCGTGAGTACTAATAATGAAAACTGATTTATTCTCAAGTCACGGCCTCACATGTAATCTCGAACACCCCTGCAGAGGCCCTGGGAGAGAAGCACATCTGGGATAAAAGCCCCCAGACGTCAGTCCCGTCTCCCCGGACGTCCCCCAGGTGCTGGCCTCAGGCAGGCGTCCTGGGTGGCTCCCCTGATGACATGTGTGGCTGTGTTCCCCACTCCAGAGATTTACTGCTGCGGCCTGCTAAGCGCCAGGAAGAGTGACTGCACAGGCTTGCCGCCATCCATGCTGACCAACCCTGCCGCTCCGCCGGCCCGGGGCCAGCACCGCATCAGGATGAAGGGGAACATGTCCCTCATCTGCTGGTACAACAAAGGGCACTTCCGCTTCCTGACCAACGCCTACTCGCCTGTACAGCAAGGTGGGCACTGCCCTGGGTGTTGGCGGGCGGAGGGGACGTGGTGGGCCTGGCGCATGGTGGACTGAGTATGAGGTCCTCTGGGGGCTGCGCGGCTCTGGGGTTGGGCTGACCCGTCACAGCGCTGCACCGTGTGGCCACCATGGCTGCGTGTATCTGGGATACGGGTGCTCCCGGGCCCGGGCTGTTAGCCCCCCAGCTCACCAGCTGTCCAGGATCATGGTGGGATTCGCAGGTGCTTTAAGCAGCCTCCTGTAGGCCCCCAGCTTGTACACGGCTGTGACAACTGGCTGTGTTTGAATGGCATTTTACGTGATCACTTTATCATTTAGAATTCTGTGGAAAATCTCTTCTGGGTGGGAGGGAAAAAAATAATTTCAGTGACTTCCTTTGAAGTATCCCACTTGCTTTGGGATTTTTGGGTGTTTGGCTGACTTCATCATTAATCTTCCTTGGGATTTAAAATCCATTCAGAACGAAGGGATTTATTTAGCAAGGAGTCTAAAGTAACTGCAGCTACAACATGATAAAAGTGCTGAGAAAGACATTTAAATGACAAAGGGACACATTACAAAAATATTTACAGTTGTGTAGTGCATTGGAAAACTCCCTGTGTCCCTTTATGTTAAAAATGTCTTAGGGGCTCAGTTGTGTGTGTGTGTGTGAGGTGTGTGTATAATGGTGTGTGTGGTGCCTGTGTGTGTATGTACATGGTACATGTAGTGTTACATGTGTGTGATATGTATGTGCGTGGTGTGGAAGTCTGGTGTGTGTTTGGTGTGTGTGTGTATATGTGGCATGCAGTGTTTGTGTGTGGTATGTGTGTGTGTGTGTATATAATGTCTGCTGTGCATTCCCATCCCTCCCCCCTCACACACCTAAGTTGAATTACACTTCGGGGAGATTACAGTCAAGGCACTCAAGCTCATGGGTGTTGTCAGCCTGCTTAGGTTCATGGGGTGCAGACACCAGCACGCTCCAGCGCTCTGTCAAGGACACTCAAGGACCTTGTAAACTGGAGGCGAGAGTTTACTGGACTTTGGCTCTGGGGCCTCAGTGTGGGCGTTCAGGGAACATGCCCAGGAGTGGGGCCTGGAAGTGCTTCCCTCCAGAGCACTGCAGGTGACAGCCCCTGAGATGTCCCAGAGCAGGGTGTCACTCTGAGCTGGTGAAAGGAGCTAGCAAAGAGAAAGGATGCATCTGGGGAAGTAGACACACGCCTGCAGGAGCACTTAAGGTGACCCATCTCAAGGGTTCAGACCCTCAAACCACACACCCAGGGAACCGGTAAGGGTTAGTAACGGTGGAAGAAGAGAAAACTGATAGGGTTGATTTCTAAATGTGCTCCAATTTAGTGTTTATTTGCGTCTGAGTTGTTTCCATTTCTTAAGTCTTCTATTATACATCAGTAAGTCTAAAATCCTGGACTCCCTTAAAATCCCCAAGGAGTATGGCCACAGCATCGCGGCTGACCGTCCTGCGCCAGCGCCCGCCTGTCCCCAGCGCCCGTGAGGGCACTCCCAGGCTGGGCTGCGCGGGCACCGGGGCACCGCTGGGCCAGGCCTCACTCGGGTGCAGAGCACCGCGGGGGAGCTCAGAGGCGGGCAGCCGGGAGGAAGGAAAACGGCTGGGTGGGACACAGCTAGAATGTGGGATGCTGCAGAGAGCGAGGTGTGGCCGGCGCTCCCCCCACGGAGGCCCTTTCCTTTGCCCACATCTTATTTAGAGTCTTTTTTTTTTTAATGAACAGAGATAGTTTTCCTTTCAGTGCACTTCAAAAAATGTGACTGTTAAAACCACCTAGTAGTATTCCGCCCATTTAGATGTCTGTAATTTCTGTCTCTCTCCCACTATAGATCAATTTTTTTCCCATAGGAGTAGTGATGTAGTAAATTTCTCCATAAATAAGTCGCTGCACACGTCTTTGATCATTTCCTTAAAACAGAGCTGGAAGTGGAATGGCCGGGCCAGAGGGCCTGAGCGTCCTTCAGGCCTTTGATGCAGCGTCGCCAGAAGGCTGTGTTACTCCCCGTGGCGACGGGTCACAAAGGACCCTGTAGCCTTCCTCCCTTACCAACACTGTGTTTTTCTAAAGGAGTCAGTCTGATAGGTGAGAATGCTACAACATTTTAAATGGAAAGTGCCAGGCCCACCAGTGCGGTTGGACACCTCTTGGCGTGTTCCTTGGCTAATTTTGAGTGACACCTTCATGTTCTCCACGATTTTCCTTCTGAGGTCTCTGTCTTATGAACTTGAAAGTACATTTTGTGCCTCTAGCAAATATGTTTTTGTATTTTTTTCCTTTTGCTTTTATTTATGGTATTTTTTGACATTAAAAAAGGTTTTCACTTCTGCCTACACAAAATCCATGGATGTTGTTCGTTGCTCTCATGCTTTAAAAGCCCCCGCTGCGTCCCAAGGCCAGGCAATGTGAGCCATGCTGTGACTTTGTGCTCTTTACGATGTCCACTTCGGATTTATTTTAGTGCATTTAGACAGGTCTGCTTCTATCATTAACTGGAAAGGGTTGATCAGTTAGCCGCCCCTCTGTACGTGAGCCTATATTCAATTCATTTATTGAATGAATTATTGTTTATACATATGTATATAATCATTACATAGAAATGATTTATTTGCTGAATAATTCTTTCCCTACTAACTTCACATGTCTCCCAGATATACAATTTCATATAAAGACTGCTTCTCAGATTCATACTCTCTTCCATGGTGACCATATGTCATGGAGCAGAATTTCCAATTGTAGAAAGCATATAACTGGTTATGAACATTTTGGAAATTGGTTTATTATTCTTTTTTCTGGGTTCTAAGGAAAAATGAACCTTCTTTCAGAAAGTATGAGCATATGAACAGGCTTTTGCAAAGTGATGTGCTGTCATATGTCAAGGGAAAACATGAAAACATCCCCAAGGAAAAGCAAATCCTTCTGATTTTCTTGTGGAATCCACGTTGGTCTATCATCTCCCACCCAGAGTGCTTGCCCACGTGGGTGGGGTTCAGGTTCCTTGAGATGAATGCACACACAGAATGCCTGTGCAGGACTGTGCGTCAGGTCTTGACAGATTCATTCTGATTTACAGAAGGGCAGAAGGAAAGTCAGCCAAGCCACAGAAGGCTGAGAGAGGTGGTGGGCAGGATAGCTGCTGGGATGTGCAGATCCACATCCGCTGGGTCTCTGACACTTGCCATGTCAGAGCTTTTCAGTCTTCAGAAAAGGATATCACAGGGCAGCAACCTTACCCTTTCCAGCAGAAACAGTATCTTAAAACCCAAAGTACCACCAGCATGGAGGGTGGTCTGGGGGAGGTGCTCGAGGAGATCGTGCAGACCCAGGCTCTGAGGCCGCTCTGCTGAGATTTCAAGCCGAAACCCTTGCTTGAAGTTGGAAAGGACAGATGGGAAGGGAATGAAGGGAATGCAGTTCCCCTGGGGCTGGCTGTGCCCGAGCAGTGGCAGTCCAGGACCTAGTGGCCCGGCTTTGTGACACAGGAGGCCAGAGCCACAGGGGAGGCTGCCAGCTCTGGCTGTGATGCAGGGCCAGCTGCCCTCGCTTCTGGGGAAAGCACAGAAAGGATTTTTTTTTTTATAGGGATGGTCCCATGTGCTCATATCCCCATGGAGCCCTTGGGGCCCCAGCAGGGCCAGAGCCTCTTTAGACCTAGAAGAAGGAAGCTGCTGTTGAGAGTCAGGCAAAGTGAACACAGAGCTGGAGAGCAGGTGGGGCAGGTGCCGGTGGGGAGAGGGCCCTCCTTTGGGAGGCCGCAGGGCCTGCCTGCCCCTGGGACCCCGTGAGTGCAGCCCAGACCCTCTGGACAGAAGGGGGCCCTGCACTGGGCTCTGGCGCCCCGGCCCTCGGGGAGGGCGTCAGGAAATGTGCTGGCAGGGCCCTGACACCTCAGTTCTCACAAGCGTTCCAGCTATTTCTTCAGCGAAAAGCCAGTATTGGAGGCAGGAGGGACAAAAAGGAGAAGGCCCCAGCTCAGGCTAGTCTGGTCAGATGGATCAGGTGACTGTTGTCTCCTATACATCCCTCAGTGGGACGGGGGGCACCCCAGCCAACAAGCTCCTTGTGCTGCACAGGACCTGCCAACTTCGATTCAAGTAGGTCCATTTAAGTAGTGCTAAAAATTCACAATCCTTTCAAGTAATCCCTTAAAGCCCACAAAATGGCATCATTCTCATGACCGGGTCATGCTGTGGGGGGAGGCTAGTCAGAGGAAACGGTCTGTAAGTCCAGCCGTGCTCGGGACTGGCAGCCCGTGGAGGCAGCGTCCGCCACATGCTCTGCCTCACTCTGGAGCCAGGCCATGCCTGGGCAGGTCCCAGCAGACAGGTTGTCCCACAGCTGGTGGGGCAGCAGGACTAATGACCCTCTGCCTCTCACACCCGTCAGTGGGGCTTAGGAATCTCGCTGTGAATTTGGCGGGGTCCCTGGAAAGCAAGCCCCCTGGGATGTTTGTATTTAATAGAGGTAAAGGTGTTGAAGGCAAGAGGGGCTGTGTTTCCCGAGTGCCTGGGGTCAGAGGGTGTCCTCCATCCCCTGGAAGTGCTGGGGTGTGAGGGCTGCAGCCCGGGGCGGTGGGGGCCGCTCCTCGTTCCCCTGGGTCCCTCATCCCTCCCTGGGGCTTTGATGGGGGCAGGCGAGCAGACAGGAATGGCGCTGGGGGCCCCCAGCCAGCTCGGATCGCAGGGAGGGAAAAGGAGGGGAGCGTGAGTGCCTGGGCTTCCCCTGGCGCTCTCAAGGCCCAGCCTGGTGCCTCAGCCCCTCTGTGTCTTGAGGCAGACACCTGAGGCCTAAGCCCCTGAGGCTGTCAGTGCCTGGCATCTGCCGTTTGTCACCTCCTCCTCTGCTCTCTGTCCCTGTCCAGCCGACCAGGCAGAGTGGAGAGAGGCACGTTGGTGGGCGGGTGTCCAGGGACACAGCTGAGAAGGTGGGTTTGTCCTCCACCCTCTGCAGGAGTGATCATCAAGCGGAAGAGCGGGGAGATCCCCTGCCCCTTGGCCGTGGAGGCGTTCGCCGCTCACCTCAGCTACATCTGCAGATACGACGACAAGTACAGCAAGTGCGTGGGCGCCCGGGCACAGCAGGGCTTGCGGGCTGTCACACAGTGGAGGGTTGGCAAGGCACCGGCAGCCTCCCCTGAAGGCCCTGGGGGTGGAACCAGCCCTCCTCGCCTTCCCACCAAGGCCCCCAGCCCCTCTCCCCTGGGCCAGGTCAGCATCCCCCTCCCCTCCCCAGCAGGGCCCTCCTTCCCCACCTGCTCATATCTTGCCCTCTCTCAGCAACTGGCCAGACCCTGCACCCTCCATGTCCCTCTAGCCCAGGCTGCTCTGTCCTCCTTCTCCACCCTGCAGGCCACCTGCATCAGCCCAGGCATTGACACACTGGCCGCGTGTTCTCCAGCAGTAGCCTCTTAATTATTTCACATATGGTCGCCTGCCTCAGGTGTACGTGTAGCACAGACGGTGTGCGCGGAGGCGTGCATGCCGTCTCCTGCCTGAATGTGGCACTGATTTACCCGGACTGAGCCTCACAGCAGAGAGCAGGGCTGGACTGAGCCAAAGGCGTGGGGCATTGACTCAGCTGCTTTGGGGGTGATTGTTTCATCTGGGCTTTCTCATGGCAGAGCGGTAACACCAAGGGCCTGGTTCTCCCCGGAAAGCTCAGGCTAGGCGTGAAAGGGGGCCCTGTTCCCAGGGGAGTCATCCAACAAGTCTTTATTGAACACCTACTGTGTGCTCAGCACCTGCTGAGTTCCATGAGGTTACTACAGAGAACTCTGCATTTGGTCAGTAGGTGTTTTAGGTGCCTGCTCTGTGCGGGCAGTGAGGATGCCGACCCTCCAGCCCTTCTCAGGGTGCAGAGGTGGGTGTGCAGGGGGAGGACAAGATGCAGAAATGAGTCATGAGTCGGGTGGCCCAGGAGGGGCACTGTCCTCTGTGCTGGGGGCAGAGAAGGCCTCCCAAAGGTGACAACCATCCTCCACCTGAAGGGAAGAGACTGGCAGAGGCATGCGCTCAGGCAGAAGGGAGCACATGGCAGCTGAGGGTGAACATGCTCTTGAGGAAGTGGGAGCAGAGCAGTATGCACAGAACCCAGCACTCGGGAAGGTGCCTTGCAACCGGGAGCCCTGGGCACGCCTGAGCTTCCGTGCCTGGCTACTGGTTTCATCTCCGCCAGTGGCCCAGGGATCCCACAGGGATGGTCCTCACCTGCGTAGGCTCAGGGACGGTCAGTTGTGATGAAGCCCAGGGGGTGCTGCCCCCTGGTGGCCCACCGCAGCGGGGGGGGTGGGGGGACATCCCTCCAGAGCTGCGGGCCCGGCACCCTGGGCCCGGGATCCTGCCCACCCACCCACCACCCACCGCCCCCGTGCGGCCGTCCTCATGAATTCTCTGTCCTTGCAGGTATTTCATTTCTCACAAACCAAACAAAACCTGGCAACAGGTCTTTTGGTTTGCTGTCAGCATCGCCATCAATAATGCCTACGTCCTGTACAAGATGTCCGATGCCTACCACGTGAAGCGGTACAGCCGGGCACAGTTTGGTGAGAGACTCGTGCGGGAGCTGCTGGGCCTGGAGGACACCCGTCCGGCCCACTGATGAGCAGGCACGGGCCCCAGGCTCAGGGAAGGACCTGGGGGGTGGGGGTCGCGGCCCAGAGAGCCTGGTGTGCGGCTGCGGCCCAGACGGGTGCTCGAGCAAGGTCTCTGGGGGCACCGGGAAGGACCTGGTCAGAAGGTGGCTGCCGTCCTGGTTTCTGGTCAAAGAAGAGCACGTCCTCCCCCTGGGAAGCAGCCCCCTGCCTCAGGCACGCTCAGCAAGGACGGGGCGCCACCCCAGGCTCCACGCGCCAGCCAGGGCTCCGCCGTCGTGTTCCGCCCAGCAGGGCGCTCCATCTTGTGCCTCCCGTGGAGCCCGCAGGGGCGCTCAGCTCAGCCCGGGGGGCCGGGCAAGGCTGTTCCCACCGAAGGCACCAGGGCGGTATGAGCTGTAAGACACTGCTTTGTAAAGATGTGGAGACACTGGTGGCGTGGCTCCATTTCCTGCCGTGTCCAAAGGCGACAGAGTAAGCGACAGTTGGCTGTGCCCTGCGGAGGTATGCAGGTGCACATAGGAGCCCGGAGCTGCCCGCGTCTGCCTCAGGCAGGCAGCTCAGCCGGGTCTCACAGAGAAGAAACAAACAGGGTGCCATTAAAACGCAGGGACGACGCGGGGGAGCAGCGCCTGCTCGGAGGGTCAGACACGTGCGCCCTCTCGTTTCATCTGTTTGGCTGGTGGGCGGGGGAGAAGGGGAAAATGCCACCAGGATCACAGTGGGGTTTTTTATTTTTAAATATATCTTCAGGTTATTTTCTTACTGTTGCTCCAGATCTTGTGTAAAGGGAGAATGTCCCACTTCTTGTCCTCCCCTCGCCCCTCACCCCGCCGCAGCCGCAGCTCCTCGCATGCTTGCGGTTCTGTTCTGCACCCCGGTCAGGGCCCCGGAGGGCAGCCGGCTTCCTGAGCACCTGTGGCTGCCCTCCACTGAGGGCCACGGGGGGCCTGTGTCACAGACCTTACCATTGGGAGAATTACTTGTTTTCAAAAAGACTCAGTGTTGCTGAAACCAACAGCAAAGCGCATGTGTGGATGACCACTTGCTGGTGTTCTCGCCCTCGCGGGCAGCGGCCTGGCGGTGGCTGCCAGGCTCAGACCCAGCCTGGGAGTGGTGTGGCCGCCCCAGGCAAACCCTGCCGCAAACTGAAGGGTCTACGGGATGGGCAGCTGGCAGCAAGGGTTCCACTAACCTCCCAGAACACTGGGGCTCTTTCTGAACCGAGGTCCACGTCTCCATGGGAGACTTTGGACGGCCACCTGTCTGACTGGTCCCCCACAGACAGAAACAAGTAATTCCTGGACTTATACAATCCCACTTCAACCCAGTTTGTGTGCCCATCCCCCTGTCCTTTTTACAAGTGCAAAATCTATTCTACTCAGGCTTTGGGACGTTTTTCCTTGTCCACACTCAGTTCATTGAAGTGTTGCTGGCAGCATGCTCCCAGACCCTACACGCCCTCTGTACCCTTTGCTCACAGTGATTGCCCTAACCCTGTGGTTTTAATTCAATGCCACGGATTGTAGGCCAAATTTTAAATTGCATTTCAAAACACCTTTGCGTGTCCTTTAATTGGATTGAAAGCACTTTTACCACATGGAGAAATATATTTTTAATTTGTGATGCTTTTCTACAAGGTCCACTATTTCTGAGTTTAATGTGTTTCCAACACTAGGGAGACTAATGAAAGCTGATGAATTTTCTTTTCTGTCCAAATAAGTAAAAGGAAAATAAAAGTCTATTTAGATGCTGATTCTTTGTTAATATGTGAATTTGTTTAAAAGGTCAGGGACAAAAATACAGGCTAGTCTTTTAAGGCTTGATTTCTTGTTACATAATCTAGCATATATGATCTTAAACTGTTCTTAGTATTGCGAACCACTGAACAGTTTAAAAAAGAAATTCTGTTCAGTTTTGAGAAATAGAAATGTATACTGATGCTCTAGTCCTGTGAGTATGTTCATATTTTAGGTGCCTGTGCCATTGAAGAAAACCCGGTGCTGCCTTCCAAACATGGGATTCTCCTTCATTTCTTCTAGCTTGTGTGTATAGCATCCAAATTAACACAAAGAGGTGCTGTTGTGACAGGTAATGGGTGACTTCGCATTACCAAAGAAGCAGAGAGAAAGTACACCATGTTAGGGCTGTTTGTAAAATGCCAGCCACCTGTTTTCAGATAAATGATAAGAAAAAAGTGGTTCCCTTGGATTTCTTAGTGAGCTTGTGAACTTCTCAGGCCCTCTCAAGCTTGAGGAGTTTGTCTTCTCCTTCCAGAAGGACCAAGTGACATGCAGTACTGATTAGGAAACCTGTAGACACTGGACCTCTCCTTGCAGGTGGATGGGAACCAAGTGACCTTAGGAATTGTGCTAAGTAACGTTTACCTGGCCCCAGTATCTACCTGGGCTTGAGGGCCCACAGGTTGACATGCGACTGGCTCATTCAGTAGCTGCCCGTTTCTGGTCACTGGGGAGGGGCCCGGGGAGTGGTCCTCATGCGAAGGGGAGCCAGCACAGCCCCAGCAAAGGCCGCAGGACGGGGCCACCTCTGCGTCCCCTTGCCAGTGAGCACCCTCTCCGCCCAGGGCCTGCCACCATGACAAACATCCCCGGAAGAAGTCTGCCTTTGCCAGGGTCTAAACAAGAGAGAACAGGAGCTTCCCAAGCCTTATGCAAACCAAAACCCAACAAAAGCTTTATGTCTCTCCATCAACCCAATATCCAAGTTAGACCCAGTGCAAGTTAAAGATGCACAGAGCTTCGCACAGCTTAAAGGCCACCCCAGGGCCTCGGATGTACTCAGAATTATTTTCAGGTAAGAGAAAGGAACTGGAGTCAGTGTCTGTGTTTTCGGTACCTTGTTTAGATTTCATGCACACTCCCCACACTGTACTTCCCCAAAAGCCTATTTTGAACAAGATCTTACTGTGGTCAGTGGAATATCAAACTAAGACCATATTTCAAAATGCAGACAAGCTATATAGGAAAGTCGGTGTATCACTCAGCTATCCAGGGATCAGATAACTGGACTAAGATACCCAGTCCGTTGACTGCGGCAGGCAAGGCCTGGCCGCCACAGTGGAGCTGAGCTGCGGCTGTGCCAGAGGCAAGACGGTCGCAGACCCCAGGACAGAGGCCGGAAGGCTGCGGACCGTCATGTCCAGCTACACGCAGGGGGGTTCTTGGAGCCCCCCGGGACAGCTGCAATCTGCATTTAATGGCAAAGAACACTTCCCCAGAGGCCCTGGAGGTTGGGGGTGAGAACAGCTCAGCAATACCCTGACTGGAGGGAGGGAGGGGTGCTGAGGGCCACCCACCCTCTAGGCCCCCTGCACCGCCCCGGGGAAGCTGTGACAGGTGAGCTGAAGGCAGCCAGACAGGGCCACGTCGTGCTTCCTGCGGGCCACCAGCTTTCCCCTGGAGACCCGGGGAGGGAGGCGTGGACTGTCCCCACTGCCACCCCCACCAGCCCAGGCAAGCCAGCTGACCAAGGAAAGAGTGTCCACCAGGCCCCTGACCCCAGAGGCTGCAAGCCCACTGCTGCACACACTGGCTACCAGATTCACTGAGCCAGCTGGGAATTTTATCCCCGACTTCTCTGGTGCCCTTATGGAGTATTTCCTCCTTCCTGTGGCCTTTAAGAAAGGAACCAAACCTCTGCCGTCCCAAATACAGGATGATCCTTGTGCCCTCCGTCCCAGGTCACTTGCTCTTGAGTGTCCTCTCTTGGCTTGGACCGAGGGGTGCTGAGTGAAGCCCGGTGGGCGTGAGCCGTGTCTGGGAGGCCTTCAGACAGAGACCAGTCCTGGGCTGCAGCCCTTCCTCTCTCAGATGGCACCAGGGGAGGGTGGGAGAGGGCTGGCCATGGTCGGTCCTCACAAAGCCTGGACATCCGGTATCCTGGGGGTAACGGGTCAGAAATACTGTTTCCCAAAGTGCCCCCATCAGACGACCCTTCAAGTCTGTCTACTCCGCAGCTTGTCCCCCACGTTGAGCAAGGCCTCATCAGTAGTTTTGGGTGCGGAAAGCTATAGCCTTGTGTGGCCCGGGGGCCAGGGGAAAGGGTCTGCCGAAGGAGACCTCGGCTGCCCGCTTCGGGGCAGTACTGTCTGTAAAGAGGTCTCCACCACCGCCGTGTGTCCATGTGGCCTTGACTGTCTCCCCCAGATACCTTCTCTCTTTTAATATTGCTGAGATGTCCTGCTTTGGGTCCATTATTCACTCTTGTATTCTGTGTGGCTTCTCTGTGTGGCTCATCTTCTGACAGTATTTCCGAGCCTCTCTGCCTGAGTATGACGTTCCCAGTAAGAATCAAAGGGGCATCAGGTGCCAGGTACCAAGCGGTACCCACTGCCGTCGCTGTGAAATACAAGCCGACCATGGCATGCTGGCTGCAGAGCGGTGCCGGCCCTGCAGCTGTGTGTGTGCACCCGTGGGGGCCCCTCCTTGCTCGTGTCACCACATCCATCCCTGGCTCTGACCTCTCGGCAGGGCCTGGCAGCTTCTTTCCGGGGCACACGCTGGCGTTGCTGGCCGCTCTGTTCGAATCCTTGTGCGCCTCTCCGTGCTCCACGTGTGGGGTGAAGTGAACTCGTGCTGCAGCGTGCGGCCACGCACAGGTCTGCTTACGAGGGGCCTCTAAGATGGCTGGGCGTACGTTCTCATCGTCACTAGCTAAATACAAACAGATAAAGGTGTTTTATTTTCTGAATTACCCGGAAGCTTGACCTTCTGTGTATTTGGAAATGAGGACTGTGAAAGGAGAGTGGGGGTAGCCCAGGGCCTACTCCAGTGTGGGCCCCAGAGTGGGGGCCAGGGTGGGGCTCAGTCACCCCACTGGCTACCCTCAACCACAGAGGCCCCTGCTGAGCCACCGCCTGGCGTTGCCCTAAGAGCCCGCCTGTCTGTGCCCTCCAGGGCATGGAGAGGGAAGGGCGTGGGGGGCACAAAGAGGGCTGGTAATCCACCTGAAGGGAAGTCCCAGCAGGTGGGGACACCCGCCTGGGGTGGGAGGGGGTCAGTTGGCATTGCTGCCAGACCCAGCAGCACCCCCCAACCAAAACGTGGGCCCTTGACCTTGGCAGGCCCCAGTCGTGCCTGGCTTACTTAGCACATCCCCCAAAAGACAGGATCTGGGCTCTTCAGATGGTTGCAATGGGACGGCTTCTGACCAGGACCTGCCAACCTGCCTTGAGGCCAGTTTTATGTTAGTGTCTGTGGAAAGCTTGGCACCACATATGAGCATTGGGGACAAAAGTGACGGTAGCTGTTCAAGAGGCCACAACCTTGCCAAAGGTTCTTAATTCTTAACCCCTGGATTCTCACATGCAATTCTAGTACTGATATTTCTACTCTTCATTTCCCGAGGGTCTTACACTTGGTTCTGTTTTCTCCATGGAAATTGGGCACCAGCCTTTTTCTCCAGCCTGACAGCTGATGGGATGTTTGCTTGTCCCCAGCTAACCCCTAGTGTGTCGTTCTGCCATTCTTGACTAGGGAGGACCGTAACTTTGGCAAAAATAATGAGTATCATTAATTGGGCAGGTGAGATTTTTAGCTTTCTAATTAGTTCTTTCCCTAGACATGCCTGACTTTTTAAAAATGTGTCTGTTCCTCAAAAAATTAAAAACAGAATGACTATATGACCCAGCAATTCCATTTCTGGGTATTTATCTGAAGAAAACAAACAGTAATTCGGAAAGCTGTCTGCACCCCTGTGCTCATCACACCCCCATTATTTACAGTAGCCAAGACACAGAAACAACCTAAGTGTCTGTTGACAGATGAATGGATAAACAAAATGCAGTGGGTCTATGCAATGAAATATTATTCAGCCACAAAATGTAAAGAAATGCAGCCATTTGCAACAACATGTGTGGCGCTAGAGGGCATTATGCTAAGTGAAAAAGTCAGAGAAAGACAAATACAATCTTACATGTGGAATCAGAAAAATAAATATATATATTTTAAAAACTCATACAGAGAACAGATGGGTGGTTGCCAGGATCAGGGGTTTGGGGGTGAGGAATGGGTGAACTGCTTTTGTATTTTTAGTTTACATCGATACAAAAAAATGAAAATGCATCTCACTTCACAGTTGAGAGCTTCCTGCCAATGAGGAGAACACAAGGACTAACAGGAGAAGGAAGGAGGGGAGAGGGTCCTGCCTCTTCCATAGACCAGAAGGATGGACTTGGAGCAGCTGTACACACCTTTACATGTACATTTTTGATTGAGGCATTTTTGGGTCACCTCATCCATTTCAACATAATGCCATCGTACAATATGACTTTTTAAAATTTGTCCCCTTACCAACACTTATCAGTATTTATCAAAAGAACAGCAGCGTCCAAAGTAGGACAAATGCTGTGCCAGTTCTGGGCAGGCCACATGTCCAGTCCCGGTGCCAACCCTCCAGCAAGGGAATTGGCCCGTCGGGGGGGCCAGGGGGCCAGGGTGGCGGATCCAGGGAGAAACCGGGTAGAAGAGCTGGGGGCGATGGGGTCGACAACGCACTGGCTCAGGAGCGAGCGAGGCATTTGTCCCCGGCGCGCCTAGTCCCTTTGGAGGTGGTGTGTATCACCAGGGAAGCAGCCTTTGGCTCAGCGGGCCGGCGATTTCCGGTTTCACGGCTGCGCAGCAACAGGACGGGACCCCAGGGGGGCAGGGAGCGCTGCCCGTGGCTGGGCAGCTCCCGCTGAGGCCGCTCACCTGGAGGTGGCGTCCTGGCGGGCACGCTCGGTGGGCAGGAGTTCCCCCCCTCCCCGTCCCCCAGCTGTGGGCTTGGGCTGCTGGGAACTGAGGAGCAGCAGGAATGGCCAGAGGCCTCCTCGGAGAAAGCCACCCTCCCGGCCTCGGGCGGGACGCCCGCGGACCTGAGCCCAGGGGTGGCGGCCTGACGTCAGCAGCCAGGACACCTGTCAGGGAATCTGCCAAAGTCGCCGTTTCATTGAAAACCTTCCCGGCTGCAATCGCATCGTTGTCCCGTGCAATTTCCAGTTGAGAATCTTGAGGAGAAAACATGTAATTGTACAAACTGCCCTTGCATAGCCCCTGGGGAGTTCACAGCACCCCACCCCATCCCTCTGTACAGGTGCAGCACACCTGTACCACCGTGGCACCCTTGCTCTCAGGGTGTACACATTCTGTGTACTGTGAGCTCAAGTCTGCATTCTAAAGTGGGAAGTGGGGCAAAAAGAAAAGACGGTGTGATTCAGAGCTCTCCTGTGGTTTTTATTTCCTCGACAAAGTTTGTTTACAGCCAGCAACTGTGAGATACAATCAATATATTGCATTTGCTCCTCCCTGGTGGCTGCTTTTGGGGAGGGGTCCCTGGGGGACGGGGCGCGGTGGGGGGCTCCGTGGGGAGCGGCGTGGCATCTGCTGCCGGCCATCCCCCCGCCTCTGCAGCACCCCTGGAGGGGAGGAGGGCAGGCAGGGGGCCTGGGCTGCAGCACGGCCCAACGCCGGCACCCCGCCAGCCCCGCCGCCGACTTGAGGGCTGCCAGAGGGGCTCCCCCGGGGCCCCTTCTGTTTCCATCGGGGGTGGGCGGGGGCGCGGGAGCCTCCCCGTCGGGGTCCGGACTCTACAGCCTGCGTCCCGCGGTGCGGCCACCGCCCCGCCACCCTCGGCAGGTTCCGGGCCCCAGGGTGCAGGCCTGCGGTGAGCGTGTTCTGTCCGAAGGCGGCCCTGGACGCGGAGTGGGGCGTGGGGAGCCGCTGTGCCCCGGGGAGGCCCCGGGACGGACGCCACCACGGGCTCTGGCGGGAATGTCCGTCACGCAGGACGTGTCTTCACCCGCCCGGAGGGTCCTGGGTGTGATGAGACGGCAGCCCCGCTGTCCTGGGCTCTCCGTGCACGTCATTACACGACAATGAGAACACTGGAAAAGCACACGCTCGTCAACTTAAAACAGAAATGTATTTTTTCAGCACATCCCGGCAATGTTCTAAGGTCTTCCATGAGCCAGAAGTGACTTTCCAGCACCCTTTTACGGTCTCAACGACTTCACGTCTTCGCTTGTGGAACCCCCGGCCTGGGGGGTCATTCCCGGGCCAGCGCCGGCCCCTCTCCGCCTCCTCTCACGGCTCTGCCCTCCGCCTCTCCCTCGGCATCTCTGCGCTGACGGCGGTGGGCGGCGGCCCCTCCGCTGACAGGACAGTCCCTCAAAGGAATGATCTATACCTAAAGGTAGCTCATTAGGCTCTTTAGTAACTGGAGGGCCAATAAATTTATGAAAATCATGAATCAGTTCATCTGTTACTTAGACTAAATAATAGCTAATTAACATGAAGATGGGGACTGACCCTCCTATGCATCTTCACTGGCTCCTTGGCACCCGCTGCAGCCCCAGGCTCCCCTCCCCCCCCCCCCCCCCCCCCACACCCCCCCCCCCCCCCCCCCCCCCCCCCCCCCCCCCCCCCCCCCTCCCCTCCTCCCCTCCCCTCTCCTCCCCTCCTCCCTCTGCCCCACGCTCCTCTGGGGGCCATGCGGCCTCCGCCTGACTTTCCTCTCTCACCCGGTCCTCCCTCCTGAGACGGGGCATCCAGGTGTCACGCGTCACCACTCCAGAGGCACCCTCACCCCTCAGCAGCGGTCGCGGTGGTGTTGTGACTCTGCAACAAAGACATCCAGGGGGGCGGAGACGCCGCAGAGAGAGGCGGGACTTCAAGGAGGACGCAGGGGACCCTTCGTAGCTGGGGATGGTGGACGCGTCTCGCGCTGGGGGCGCAGTCCCCCGGGCCACATCGGCAAGCGGTGCCCGTGTCTCCTGGCGGGAGCTGTCTCTGGGGTCACAGGAACACTCAGAAACTGTCAAAAAGCTACTTTCTAATTTGAGAGGAAGGACAGCAGAGGGGCAGGGGACTGGAAGTCGTTCTCTAAGGACATTTTCCATCAAGGTCTGTCAAGCAGTGGGAGAGACGCACACAGAGACCTCACGACCAGAGCAGTAACAGTATCTAAAGATAATCAAGGGACAAGAACCCCACAGACGGGGACACGAGGCTGAGCCGTGTGCCGTCTGTCCCCGGGGCAGTGTGCCCAGGGTATCGGGGAGCTCCGAGTGGGCCGGAGAGGCGGCCGCGGGTGCAGCTTCGCAGAACAAGTGGGCTCGGGCCCCGGCGCGAGCTGGTCTGAGCATCTCTGCGGCTGTCCACCGGGGCAGTCTTGGGCTCACAGGCGCAAACCCAGCACTTCTGCCCCGTTTAAGCACCCTGACGCTGCAGGGCAAGGAAGTGTGAAGTCTTGTCTGTGTTAAAGTGGGTGCTTCAAGGGGAGATGATCCGTCCGGACCCAGGAGTCTGCTCCTGACGCCAGGCTAGAAGCAGGAGTACCTGGGCTGCGCCCCTCCTGATGGGGGCGGGGGCGGGCTCGCCCTCCTGCCCCTGCCCCGCTCCCAGGCCCGGGAACTGGAGGCAGATGGGGCCCCTTCGTCCGTGCCCGGTGCCTCCCTCCCCGGGAGCCGCACCCTCCGTGGCAGTCTGGCCCTGGACGGCCTGCAGTGGCTTCCTACCACGTGCACCATCCCACAGGCAAGAAGTCTGGAGACGATGTGGGGTCAGACCCCCAAACGGACCCCCGCGGCCTGTAAGGTGACGGCTTTCGTGCAGGTGGCGGGATGGAGCATGTGGAACCCGAACGGACGTGCCCGGCTGCGGCCTGGGTTGGGGCCGGAGGCGTGCGAGGGTGTCGCCGGCTCTATCGTATTTCAGCAGCGTCAGAACGACCACAGAAACGTTTCACAGCCTGGTCCGCCTTTGGCCGTCACCCTCCGAACCACATGTTCGGTTCACGCCCGCCTTCCCGGCAGCAGAGGGCAGCAGAGCACGCCGTACCGGCCTCAGCGTGTGACACGCACCGCGTCCGCTCACGAGGGCCTTCTGAGCTGGCGTGGGCGGGTCTCGGCACCGTGGCCGCAGCGGTAAATGAGACAAGCCGCCGTTCATCGGGGCCGTAAGACCCCGGTGCCACGGGCACAGGCGTGGGGAGGGACTCGCTGCTGGACTGGGCACACACTCACCCAGCAGAGATGACCGGGGCTGGAACGTTAGCTCCAGGAGCCCGGGATCTTTGTCTGGTCCACTGTCCCTAGAAGTGCTAGTGCCTAATAGGCACTGGCTCGGACACCCCTGGGCGTTTCCAGGCAGCCACACAGGGTGCACTGCGTCCCACGTGTGTCCTGCACCTGGGCTGCGGCACCCTGCGCTCATGGGAGGCAGCAGCCTGGAGCATCTTAAGGAAGGTCCTCCCAGAGGGACCCTGCCCGACACCCAAGCTCAGAGTCCGGAAGGCCTGCACCCAGGCAACGGGAAACCCCTAAGCCCCGGCTCCCCACCCCCAGTGCAGGGGCCCCATGACCCAGCCCTGTCTGCAGGCCTCAGTGAGCCTCTGCACGGTGGCGCCAGCCCGCACCCTGCCACGTGGGAGTGCAGGACGCCTGCTTGTGCCCAGAGCCCACTGTTCCGTAGCTAATGAGGCAGCGGGTGCCCCCAGTCGGACCAGAGCACCTGCAGACCCAGGCAGGTGTCTATGCAGATAAATAGATGACAGGTGATGGCAGATCGATGATACAGCAGAGAACAGACCTCAGAGCAGGCCCGGGGGCTGGGAGTGGGTCCTGCTCTGCCAGCCCAGCCTTGCTCTCCTGGGAGGGTCCCGAGTTTTCCCATGCGTGTTGCCCACCGCTGCTGCTCCGAGGCTGCTGCCCCAGACTGGGACCTCAGGTTTCCTCTCCACAGACCCTCCCCACCCTAAACAGGTCGGCAGCCTCTCTGGGCCTGGATCTCCAGGGATAAGGAACCGGCCTGGCCTCCTCGTCAAGGTGACATCAGGGATGTGAACATGTAGCACCACAGGGCCCAGCCAGCTGAGTGACAGGGTGGAGGTCAGCGCAGTCCCAGGCCACCAGCTTCTTGTGCATGGCAGGTGGTCGGTGCTGGTCCAGGGAAGACCCTGCAGCCCACCAGCTCTGAGCCCCTGCTTCTCACTACCCCACCCATGTCTGCAGGTGCTCCAGACAGACAAAGCTTCCTGTAACTGCATAGATGATGGATAGATGGATGCATGGACAGATACACAGTAGATATATAGAGATGCAGGTAGACGATAGACAGATGATACGGTTTTCTTTTTGCTAAGATGAACTGTGCCAGTGGAGAGGACAAGTAATGACCACAGCATCTCACTACACTATAAACAGTGACCGCAATGGGGTGCGGGGGCCACTTGATAATATAGGTGAATGTTGAAACCACAGTGTTGCTCATGTGAAACCTTTATAGGTTGTATATCCATGATACCTTAATAAAAAAAAAATGAATTGGTACCAACCATTTGCATGATAATGTAAAAAAAAGAACTGTGCCGGAAGTTGGCCTGGACATCAGTTTGGATCTTACGTCTTTTCTTGGACCTCTGGTGTTCCTGTCAGGGAGAGCCACCTGCCCAGGGAAAACCTCAGAGCTTGTGTGACCTGCTGGCGGCCCACAATGCCCTGGGGTGGGGTGGGGGTGCGCTGCCCCAGTCGGGCACCAGCAGTCCCGGCCTCAGTCCTCCAGCAGCCTCCTGACCATGTCTGCAAGCAGCCCACGAATCCTGAGTGTGGTTCGTGTGGTGGCAGGAAGCCCCACTGCAACAAGATACATTTCTCCGTGGATAAACCCAGAGAGATCACAGGGCCTGGGGTGTGAGATGCTTCTGAGAGGGGGCAGGGGCTTCAGTTCCTGCCTGTAGTTTCCTTAGCAGGCCCTGTGCCTGTCTGAGCCTCACTGTCCTCATTTGTAAACTGGAGATGATTCCATGTAGTTCAAGATCCCATGTGTTCAGGGAGGAAGGGCCTGCTCCCTTCCCCCCTCCCAGGGCCTGCCTGTTACCAGCCCCGCTGGTAAGGGCAGCCGAGCAGAGGAGGAGACCCTCTTTACCAGGGGACATGCAAGACGTATTCCAGGAAGAGGCATCATTTTGGGGTGAAAAGTTAGACCCCCTAAACAATGAGATCACGGGAGCCTCTTCCATGTCCCCTTTTCCTAACTGTGGATGGTGACAACATTTAGACCACAAGCCAAGTCGATGTCCAACAACCCCACCCCTGCCCTTTGCTCCCTCTTGAAAGCCTTAAAAGACAGAATCCAAAGCCCTTAAGCACGCCTCCTCTCTGTGTGCTTTTTAAATAAAATCTTCCCACTGTTCCACTTACTGCGCTTTGTCTCTGCTCTTCCAGTGGTGCTTGTGTCACTTCGCTATCTCATTCTATTTTCCAGACTCAAGCACAAGTCTTCTCTCTGTCAGTCCTACTTCAGACAAGTAGGGAGGGGCTGCTGAGAGCTCTGATTTGGGCCTGCAAGTTCCCGCGACCTGGGAGACCCGGGCAGGGCTGCAGCTGCACAGTCGTGGTCTTTAGTAGCCTGAAAAATCTCCTTCTTTGCCTTCGGGAAGTTCTCAGAACACAGTCTCACTCCATCAGCGCTCTGCGGCTCCCCCAGATCCCGGGGTGGTAGGGGCTTAGTCCCCACACTGTGCAGATCCCGGCTTACCTACACTCATCTGGCCTGCCGGAGAATTCTTTCTGGTTCAGTCAAGGACCCTCCCCCATCCAGGCTGCATCCACTTCTAGTGTGCAGGGAGAGACCTCCCCAGATGCAGCTGTCCGGCAACATTACCCTAATAAAATTAAATAATTAGAAAACGGAACCACAAGCTGGCACATGGCAGCCAGAGCCTGAGCAGGAAGGTAGTCCCCTCCTTCCCTGCCACTGGGCTCCATCAAGGGGCTCGGCAGAGCCTGTCACCTGTGCACAGGTGAGCGGTGAGGGGCGAGGGTGGGGTGGTCAGACTCAAGTGGACTTTGCAGGGAGGGTTGTGTGTCATTCTTTCTGGGTGTCTTTTGGTATGAGAGTAAGTAAACGGCAATCTTTATAGAATGGCCCAGCTTCATCTTGCCAAGAACTAGCAGCACATGGATATAGGGACCTCTGGGGTCTCCCCACTATCCGGTGACTGGCTCACTCAGCAGGAGTGGGTTAGGATAAATAAGTTCTTCCTGTGGTCCTGTGGATAGGCAGGCCTGAAGCAATCACAGCCGATACCGTACTGGGCGGTGCCTTGGCCACAGGCAGCTGCTGGCCCTGATGTGGGCCGAGAGACCCTGCCCACTGGCCCCCTGCCAAGGGGTCTCCCTGTAGAGGGTCTGAACGTTGGTTCCCTGATTTAAGAGAAAAGCCCCCTGAGCCCCTCAACGCTAATAGATAAGCTGTCTTCCATTAATGGTTTGGTGTGAATTAGTCCATTGCTCTCATTCCTTTTAATTCATTTAGCCAGCCTTTCAAGGAAGAACCTTTTGTAAATAAAGGAAAGGGCTTTAACTGTTTCCTGTATTCTGGGCTTGCAAAGATGTGTAAGACCCAGACCCTGTCCTCCCCAGGCAAACAGCCCAGCCAGGAGGGCGAGGCGGGCACAGTGACCTAGCCGCCCTCAGGCGACAGCGCCATGCAAAGTGCTGCGGGGACTGGCAAGAATGATCTAGGAAGAGGGCATGACTGAGAGAAAACTGGGGTGCAAGGGAAGGTGAGCTGCCCTGTGAAAGATGGGTGTCTTGGAGAGGGAGCTGCCACGTGGAGGGTGGGGAATGCATGGATGGGTGGCGCAGCTGGAGGAGGGTCGGGAAAGGTTGAGTGAGACCTGGTGATAATCCCCAAGGGCCGGAAAATGTTTTGGCTGTGTTCATGGGGCAGGGGTAAGGGGCTCCAACAATCAAGGAAAATACTGCTTTGTGTATGTATATGTTATTTGTTTCACCTGGGAAGAAGATTCCTAGATCTTACCAGCTTGCAAAGGATCTGTAAGCTGCCAGTGGTTAAGCACCCCTTCTCGGCAATGGCAAGACTTGTGGAGTCTCCACAGGAACACAGCCATGCTCGAGAAGGTTCTGGTGATGGTGCACAGGTGGGCAGTGGGGCCAGGATGACTCCGATCACAGGGACCTCTGGGCCCTGTTCTCTCTGCATCAGAGGAAACAACATCAAACCGGTTTTTTATAAAGCTGTTGCAACCAGCATCTTTATACAGAGGAACACCTGTTCTCTCTCCATTAGTCACCTGTGTGCCCTCTGTGTAGCAGGCACAGAGGCCGTACATGTCCCTGTCCTGAGGGGTCTCACAGCTCCGTGAACAGACGCAAGCAGGAACGTGTCAGGAAATGAAAATACATGTGAGAAGGGAGGGCTTTGGAGCCACCACAAAAGGCCTCTTTGAGGATGGGCCCCTGGAGCTGAGGCTTCCCGCACGGTCAAGGGCAGGTGCTTCGGAGCCTGGAGAAGAACATTCTGAGCAGAGGAATGGCTGGTGCAGTGGGAGCAGCTCCATAGCCTAAAGGAGCAAAAGGAATCCTGGCGGGGC